TAAATATGCATCTGAGTTGATTGAGAGCAAGTTATTTTATGTCAAGGGGTGGGGGGCAAAAAGGATAATTGTACTTTGTCTTAAAGTGAACTTATCTTTTAACCTGAAAAGGCATCTAATTAGAACAGGCATCATCTCATCTGTGCTATATATGTATTTGCTCATACATATAAAAGTGAAATAATACTTAACAATGAGTGCCAAAGGCAGCCGAAAATAGCAGTCACAATGGTGAAAATAATGATCATACTAGCAAACGACATGTATCACGGCTTAGTTGATTGAGCCTTATGTAATAGCGTAGGAAATTTGCAGCTGTTACTATTTGGCGTGAATGTATCCTTTGTCTTGTCAGGACATTAGAATATTTATAAGAAAATATTTGGACACTGCAGTAACAACATTTCTTGTTTAATAAGACGTTACTCAAGATTTATGGTCCAGTTTGTGAATTAAGAGTTCCTTAATAACTTTTGGTGTCTGCAAGCATTGTATATTGTCCAACACAATTAACACTGTGATTCATGCGGTACACCATGGCAGGCATAAAAATGTTGCTCTGTGTTTCCCTACTGCATTGCTTCATATTTAATCAAGGCCAAGCTGTCTGCCCAAATAAAAGAGTGGATTTTCTCCTTTATTGTTATGTAACATCCCAGTAAATCACCGCCTCCTACTGAATCATGAGAGAGCAGCAGTTGGCCGTGTGCTGCAATTTCATATGCTGTTGCCAACTTTCCTTTCATTTCTATTAACAACGAATAAATGTATTTCACTGTAAGGTGCAATGAGCCTTCGCTAGCTCATTCCTTGCATGAGTAACTTAATAAATGTCATTGTTGTGCAGCTCCTTAAAGGCAGAATTATTTTATTAGAATGGACATTTAAAGCAGAAAGCCCCCAGCTAACTGGTTTGACCTTAGAGCTTGCCAGCTGAGGCCGTATGTGCATGCAATACAAGATAGGAGTCATTTGACTACTTAATGTCCTTTACAGGAACAATATGCAAATAACTGAGAGAGCTATGCATGGTTGATGGTTTTACCATGTAATTGATTCCAACCTGAATGAATGTGTACAACTGTTCTACCAGTCTTGTAAATTATTACTCACCCCCACCTTTCTCCTAGGCTGTCTAGAAAGCAATGTTTTATCTGTATTTATACAGTCGTTTTAATCTGTAATTTGCACTTGTTGATCCACCTTACATATTTTTCTTTAGACATATCGCACAGGGCTGGGAAAGTGTCCATATGGATTAAATATCCTTAGCCAAATGCAATGTTTTCATCAAACAGTGGTTTTTAATAATACACTTACTAAACCTTGACATTTTGCAGATTGTCCTCAATAAGATTGTCCATATGTTAGAGGCACTAAACAGGAGTTGGGGGCCGAGATCTTCAATCCCAGCCCCGAGACTTAAAGCGACACTGCCATGCCCCCAAAAAATCCCCAAAAATGTTAACCACTTGAGGAATTTAGACATAAGACATATGCCCTAAAAAAAACTTCAAGTTTTTAGAGCATTTCTCCTAGGTCCTGTTTCTCTCTCCTGATGCCACTCCCCTGCTGCAAATATGGGTAATTCCCTGTTGCCAAAATGACAGCTGGGAATGACTATGTATTACAGAGTGTTGATTAAATGGTACCCATATGATCAACACTCTATGGAAATATGAAAACTGCATTTAACAACTAAAAAAAGATTTTGAACTATCTGGACAACCTTAATCCTACTCAGAGAGTTTGTACTCTAATATTGGATACCAAGTGGGCTTCTGTCTATTTGATCTCCCAGGAAAGCCCCCACTGGTATGTTGTGTGTACCGTTATTAGCTCTCCTGCTATACCTTCTCCTTTACTACCCTTCTTATCCTATACCACGCTGCTGTGGTTTGCGAGTGTTGGATGATCTTATAGCCATGAACTGTCAGGACTGTCGAGTCTGTATATTTAATTATATCAATTGTTATATTAATGCAATAAATTGCGTATGTATTTACTGTATTGTACTAGATTGAAACAAACTAAATTGACACATGGCATTTTCTGTTTATATAAATATTTTAATGTATATTTACACCAATAAAATGTGTTATTTTTAGATATAAACTGTTATTCAATTTTTGGCAGCTCAAAAGCCCCAAGTCGTTTTTAAGTTTTTTGTGGTCTATGTATTACATAGCATGAGCTACTATGAAAATGCATCTACTCCAGTGTAAAATGGCAGTTGCAGATAGTAAATACAATGTTTCATTGTATTGTTTCATTGTTTTTACTATTCCATTCATATGTTGATCAAAGCTATGGCAACAAAATCAGTGAATCCATCTTCCTGGTGCTATCACACCAGCATCAGCAGCACACACGTTCAAGGGAAATTGGTTTTCGTTGAGGGTGCCCTTACCTTGTATAAATAAAGGGGTTGCTGTTTTTAGACCTGACCGAGGTCTATTTGCAACGTAAGAGGCGACAGCATGTGGAGGTGTATATATTGGTGGAGGAATTGGAGTTAACTGTTTACAGCTGATGCTGGTGTGATAGCACTGGGAAGCTGGATTCCCTGATTTTTAAAGATTGACCTTTAGTGTAACAGCACTGGGAGATTTAATTCACTTACCTGCAATCATTAGATAGTAGTGTGACAGCACTGGGGTGCAGGATATATAATATACGTGCATTTACTGTGTACACTTTATATATTATTTGTTTGTCCCGAAAAAAAAAAGGTTTTGAATAAACAGGCCCGTAGTGGCAGTATGAGTCCTGAAGTGGTTAAACAAAGTTCTCTAAAAAGTATTATACTTACCTCTCTAGTGACCTGTGTCTCCTATCTTGGCTTAGCTGAAGAGCTTCACTTTTCATCTGACTCTTTAGCATTCAACACTTCCAGGAGTGGTGGATACCTTTATCCCCTGCCCCAGGCTGTGGTTTCATCCTCCACCCCTTACATCACTACAGGACACAACAATGACATACAAGTCAGTGGAAGAAACTACATCCTGCTGCAGGAGACAGAACATTCTGAAGGTCCTATAACGATGTGGAGGTTGGCAGGAGGAAACAGGAAGGGACATTGTGGTGGCATGGTTTGTAGGAAAGGTAAGTATTCACTTCCTTTTTTTCTAATTTATCATTAAAATGACAGGGTCGTTTTCGACAGTGGAGCGAGCATCTTTAGACATCCTTTTCCTTTATTAAGCCTTAGGAAACAAGCAATAGTATAGAGTGACTATTTCCAGTTGTCCAGTTGTCTATGGCAACTGTTAGTTCAAGTGGGGGCTCGAAGGATGTTACCTTGACCCTAGGTTCACTATCTGATGGGTTACTGGTCTGGAACAGGCCTTTAACCAGTGCAATTTGAAAAGTCTGAACCTCTGTCTTGCTTGTGTGTACCAGATCAGTGATTCATTAGGTAGGAAATCTAGGACCATAATGCTTGTCCTGGTGCCTACACTTTTACATACCAAGTCAACAATAGCAGCTTCTATATTTCTATCCTTACAGGTTTCCTTTAAAGTGACATTAAACCCTCAGATTTTTTAATATAAACCAATACTGTAATGTGTACCTGTCTACAGCCCTGGCTATCACTAAATGCCTAGTAGTCAGATCACAGAAGGTGATGGGCGCTACACTACCCTAAGGCCCCATTCACCCCAGGGCGGAAGCATTTCAGCCTGGTTTGCGCGTGATCTTTGAAAGGGCATTTTTGGGCTGTTTTAATCGCGTTTAAGAACTGAAACGCAATGAAATGCACCCAAAAAACGCGCTGATCACTTTTCCATTGAAATCTATATAGGAAACGCGCTGATCAGGGCGGAAAAAGTAGCTCAGGGAGCATTTTGGGCGGCAGGCGGTTCGGACCGCGTGGTGACACACGATTGCATGAACAGTCCCCATTTTTTTGGGAGAATGAGCCATGGCTTATTCATATGTAAATAGCGCCACCCATTCATATGTAAATATCACAGTAGTGGGGGGCCAGTAGCCCCTATCTTAGTTTTGGTTGCCCCTGTCTGTCTGACATCTTGTGTCCGGGTTTCTGCTGCCTTGAAACCCAGACACAACATTTAAAACCCGGACTGTCCGGGTGAATCCTGGACAGGTGGCAACCCTAGCCGGGAATGGAGCCGGGTGCCGAGGATGATGTAACTCCTGTGAGCACGCTTCTTGCAGTATATTACCCTGGGTTGTTTCCAGCATCTGTAATATGCCAGGAATGGAGCTGGGTATCGGGGACAATGTAACTTCTGTGCGCATGTGTCATGCAGTGTGCTACCCTGGGTCCTTCCATGCATCTAATATGCCCGGAATGGAGTCGGGTATCGCAGACTGTGCACATGTGTTGTGCAGTGTACTAGCCCGGGTCCTTTGCAGCATCTGTAATATGCCAGGAATGGAGGCAGGAATCAGGGACACTGTAACTTCTGTGCTCATGCCTCATGCAGTGTACTTTCCCCAGGTTCTTTCATGGATCTGTAATATGCCGGAAATTGAGCTAGGTGCCAGAGACGATGTAACTCCTGCTTAGGAGTTAGGTCATCAGAGGCATCCCAATAATCAAATAGAATGACGGGGACCCGAAAGAAGCAGAAGTTTACATTGGTCAGTGCTGGAGGGCACACTTGTAAGGCTTTGCATACTTTGAAATATGGCAAGAGTTCCCTTTTCAATTTCAACTGTACTTCCGCTTTAATAGTAAACCATTTTGTCTTGTTTCTGTTTGAAAGTGGCAGCATTTAGAAATAAGCAATGCAATATGTTTTGTAGTTATAAAGTATATTTTTGTATGTAGACCTAGAAAAAGAACACGTGACTTTTGCTCCAACTATTTAGTACTGTGCCTTCCAGTGAGGTGAATTATTCCTAGCAATAGCAGTCTGGTGTATTGATTGAATGCAGTTCAGTCCTCCAGCCGCACAGTGGCAGTGTGGGGCCGCAGGACAGGATGACGGCTCCCGCCCCCGTTGCTATAGACTTGGAGTTTGTTTACTTCCGCTCACGGATTCCAGACGGAGAGAGATTCTGTACGGGTAATGGCTGTATGAGAGCATTGGAGTGGGAGCAGCTCAGCCCCAGCCACCGGTGTCCCAGGCATGGCCACCGAGGAACAGGAGAAGCCAGTGCCCAGTAAGTGCGAGCAGCAGCCATCTCACCCTGCATTCATGCCTTGGAATACTCACTGACATCATCTACATCTTACTGCTTGACAGTCACCAGCCTGATCTGCTCCTGCTGTGTGTTGCTCAGTGACATGATATACTTCTAACTGATATCATCTATCTGGTATTGGACCGTGACGGGCACTGACATGATCCATGGTTCTCTGAATGGGGGGGTCAGTGACATGATCTATGGGTGACTGGAGGCTTTGTAGTGTGTGATATTTACCAACATGTTCTGCCACTCATGACAGTGTGATGTCACAGACATCTAAAAGTCATTGACTTGTGTTACAGTAAATTACATGATTTAAAGCCCAACTCTAGATATATTAAATGTTTTCTATTGCAGCGGAGGCTGCCATCACCCTGCAAGTATAAATTGCTCATTTATGCCTTTGGGAGAGGAAAACGCTGTTTTACTTATCTTACTCATCTGGAAATTGGAGCTCTCAATTTCCTCTGGCCACTGTCCCGCGGCATCCCTGCATACAATGCATGGCTATAGAGCTTGCATTGTACTTGATGGCATTAGTTGTCCTTAGACTTCTGGAGTGGAGGGGAGAAGAGGCTGTAGAGAATGGTCTAGCAGCCTAAAGGGAGCTGTTGGGGGCCGTCCCTAATGCTGGAGGGAGGCTTTAAATTGATGTAAAGGGCGCCTTTAAAATGTGATTAAAAAAACAAAACATTTTAGTTAAAGTGATGCTAATCTCAGGAGTTAAATCTTAAAACTGCATTCAGGTACCTTAACTATTAACAATACACTGCATGCACAATTATTAGGCAAGTTGTTTTTTTGAGGATGCAGTGCTCTCGGTCAATCCAAAATGTTAATAAACCTCAAACCTGAATATTTAAAGGAGAACTATGAGGTGAGTGCTTTTCACTCACCTCATAGTTCTAGCCGACCTGTGACAATGAGACTGTCACAGGTCGGCTCAGTAGATCGGGAGGTGAGCGAACACATACCGGCATTCACTCACCTCTCGATCCTGTCACAGCTCTCTGCCGTGACAGGGGAGTGGCTGGATTCCCCCCTCCCTGCTCCTATCTGCCAGCCCTGACTGGCGGAACGGATGGGGAGGGGGCAGGTACAGCTGGCTCTGCCTCTAGATAGGCAGAGCCAGCTGTCACTCAGGCAGCTGGGCGGATCCAGACATAATTGTCGGGATCCGCTTCAGCTGCGGCGTCTCAGTATACCGTGAGCTGTAATTTGCGGTATACTGCTGCGTCTCAGTATACCGCGAACTGTAGCTCGCGGTATACTGAGCTTAGGGTGACGGGTGGACGCTAGTTTGTCGGGTTTCAGCCCTCCTCACCTTGGCCATGCAGGGGTGTGGTTTTTTTAATTTATTTTTTACTATTTTTTATTTTATTTTCAATTTTTTTTTTTCTTAAAATAGAAAAAGAAATTGAGGACACAAAGTCCTCAATCTCTTTTTCTGCAGTCTCTATTCTAAATGAATGGAAAGCAAAGAGGCTCCTCCCCATTCATTCAGAAAATATTTTACTATCAAGCAGTTTCTGAATGGGGAGGAGCCTCTGTACAGAGTGCTTCTCCCCATTGAGAAACTCATGCATGAACCGGACGTGATGTAAATTCCTGTTCATTCATTTATAACTGGGGACACATAGTACTATGTGTCCCCAGTTATTTACAAACACTGGAGTGATCAGCCGATCGCTCCAGTGTTTATCTTGCACAGAGGATTGGTACATACTAGTGACATGTACCGATCCTCTGCTGCTCGTCCACGCACAAGGGGGCTCAGCTTCTCCTCTGGATCCCCCTGCTCTTCAGCCGCGGGGGGGAGGGGGGTTGAGCCGCTGTGACAGAACGGACGAGCAGTGAGGGGAGAGAGAGGCGCCTGCTGTCAGATCCTGGCCGAGCGTCTCTCTCTCTCTTCACCGCTCTTCATTAGTTATGTGACAGCGGCTCCGTCCTCCGCCCTCCCCCGCCGCCGGTTCCTTCACATCTTCTCGGATCCCCGCTGGGCAGAGCAGCGGGGATCCAGAGAAGCGGCGGGAGGAGAGGACAGTGCGATCTACCAGTGATCGCTACGCGATCGATTGGTAGATCGCGATCGACCTTATGGGCACCCCCAAATGCTCGATACCTTCTCCAATACCGAAACTTCTGGTCAGAGGAAGGTTTCCTCTGACCGGCAGTGTCGTAGAGGAACATGGAGCCAGCCTACCGTGCAATCAGGAAGCGGGGCAGCGACTAATAACCCGCCTCCCAGTTTCCTGATTGGCCAGGAAGCCAGCTCCTTGCTGATTAGCTGCTTCGGTACTCGTACTCTATACCCAAAAACCGGTATTGGTGCATCCCTAGTTTTCATTCAAACTTTTTTTTTTTGTATTGGGACAAGTCCTTCATAACAATCTACAAGTAGATTTGGCCCCCGCTTTAGCCTTTTGACAAGTAGTTTTTTCAAAAATGTCCACACCCCTGCCATGTCTCTGAGCACTGAACACCTTGTACTTCTGGGCACTCCTTGTGGGTTGCAGTTCTGGAATACGACAGCACTGGACGATAATGGGTTCCCGGTAGCTTCACGTTTGATTCTTCTCAAATCTTTGCCAGTTAATTTGTGTCTTTCTTTCTCAACACATTTCTTGTGACCCTGTTGAATTTGCAATAAAACGTTTCATGGTTCTGTGATCACGCCCCAATATCTTAGCAATTTCAAGAGTGCGACATCCCTCTGAAATACTTTTTTATTATTTTTTACTTTTCAGAGTCAGTTAAATCTTTTTTTTTGGCCCATTTTGCTTGATGTAAAGAAGCTGACTTATCATTATGCACACCTTGATATAGGGTTTTGATCTCCCTAGGCCACACCCTCCCTCATTACACAAATACACATCACCTGATATTCTTTAATCTAGGGATGCACCGATACCGGTATTTTGGTACCAAGTACGAGTAGCAATAATTTTGTTTCGGTACTCGCCGATATCAATTACAGAGTAACGGAAGTCCCATTCAGGAAGCCAGGTGGCGTGTAATGGAGCCACCTTGCTTCCTGATTAGCCGGGAAGCCGGGCAGTGTGTAAAGACTCGCCACCCGGCTTCCCGATTAACAAGAAAGTCTGTCCCCTCTTACCTTGGTATGTCCAGCCTGTCACCTGGGGGTTAAATTGATGTTTGTTTGGCAGGAGCACGGTGGAAAATTTTTCTGAGTGTACAGAATTCTAACCATGAATGTAATTTCTGTTTGGGACTGCCCTAGGAAAGAGGAAACTAGGGCACCCCCCCACACTAAATCTGCAGGATGTTTGGTGGGCTCTGCACACCACAGATCCTGCACAGCCCACCCATGACTCTCAGGTGGGCTGTGCAAAATCCATGCTGGGCTCTGCAGGGTCCCTTTAGCAGCAGTGTGATCCTCTTACCTGCTGCTTGGTCCCCGGCCTCCTCCACCGCTGGACTGGTGCTGCAGGACCCGGCCTCCTAAGCAGCCCAAAGGCTCTTCGGTGACCTGGCTTCCTACGGCACCCTGGCCCCGCCCCTTCCTGAACCGACATCGTCTTGGCCTCGCCCCGCCCCCTCGTGCTGCAACGCCTCCTCTGCCTCTTCTGCTTCCTCCACCGCCGTCTCCCATCGCCTCCTCCTTTACGTCTTTTGACTCCTCCGCCCGGCTGCCTAACTGTTTTGGGGGTTTTGGCGCGCCCCTCCCCCTGAAAACCGCCGCCCAAGGAAAAGGCCTTGTTTGCATCACGGCAGATACACCCCTGCTCATGTGCTAGTCAAGAAAGAAACTTGTTTAGTACATCTGAGATTCCATTCAAGTAGCAGGTCTGAGCAAAAGTTTTAAGGACTTTCAAAAGAAGTTAGTATAGTCAATAATGGCAATATCAAATGTTCTGACGCTGTTAGATTTTGGTCAATGATTTTTTTTTAATGTTTACAATTTCATAAATAACAATTTATAGGGTCCATATGAGCTAGCAGAAAGGGATGGGGCATGTATGTCCTCTGATCATTTAGTGTTGTGTTTCTAGTTCCCTGTCTGTTCACTGCTAAAAATATAGATGCCAAATATGTAATCTTTCATTTTTACTGGACATTTAAAAATAATTGTACTCCTAAAGATAATAAAGAAAACATCATACATTTTCCAGTAACAAGAGCATGTGTTCTCTATGGATGTCCTCTGTGATTATGGGATGACCTGTAACAAGAATATGTACCCTCTATTCATGTCGCCTGTGCTTATGGGGTGACCTCTATTGAGAACATATATCCTCTATGCATGTCTCTTGTGCTTATGGGGTGTTCTGTAATGAGAACGTGTCTTTTATTCATGTCCCCTGTGCTCATGGGGTGACCTGTAATGAGAACATGTGTCCTATATTTATGTCTCCTGTGCTTATGGGGTTACCTCTATTGAGAAAATGTATCCTTTATGCATGTCCTTGTGCTGTAACAAGAACATGCATTAGGGCTGCAGCTAATGATTGTTGCAGGGGTGTGGAATTCGTATCACTCGACGCCTGGGACATGTAGTTTCGGGCGCCGGGCAAGTGTTGTTTTCACTGTTTTAGCCCTGCTACGGACAAGTAGCAGGGCTGGTTTTCTCTCTTAAATGAGTGGCGAGAGCGGCGCTGTGAGCAGGGGGCGTGGACGGAGCGGGGGGGCGTGGAGTGCTGAGAGCGGGGGGCGTGGAGTAGTGATGGAGCAGTGACAGAGCCGGATGGTGGTGCTGTGACAGGCTCTGTCACCTCCCTCAGCCTCTGTCCCCGGCGGCCGCTGCTTGTTCCTGTCACAGGAGTTCTAGCAACAGTGCTGTGCTGGAGGTGACAGGGTCAATAAAGAGTACAAAGTCACGGAATCGCACACCATCGCCGATCGTGCTGTCAGTGCTATTATTTTCTAATGGCACTCCAGTCGCACCAGGCAGATCGCACCGTTTCCCACCGCAATACCGCCCGGGCGATCCCACACGATCACGGTTGAAAACA